CACACACACACACACGCGCACACACACACACACGCGCACACACACACACACAGATGTACTTTTGTTGACAGGGTAAAACCTCTTAGAGTTAGCGATGGCCAAAGCTTTCCCGTTGGGACCAAACTTCTTCCACATGGAAGTAGTAGGTGACAGGTGTCTTCGCGCTGTACTATGAATCTGGAGCTTGTTTACCGGACTACAAATCTGGCACGGTTTATGCACCAGATTCATCCCTGCATCTACGAGTTATCCCAATAGGTTTCCCTGCATCTACGAGTTATCCCAAGAAATTGAGTGCAGAGTAGAATCTGATTCACTTCACACCTTGACATCGTTTCTCTCACTCACACAGGAGTCACAGCCGATTGGCTGTTTGAGGTCCGGAGACAACTCCATGATCCTGCACATCTCAGTCTGGGCATTCGGGAATTGGGTATATTATAACAACAATGCAGCCAATGCATGTCAACGACACTATTACGCGCACTTGGCAATCAATCGTGCAAGCTACACAAGATATGGAGCAACACACACACACACACACACACACACACACACACACACACACACACACACACACACACACACAGGGGGGGGGGAGAGACAAAGAGAGGGAGAGAGAGACAGACACAGGGAGAGAGAGCTCAGAGAGAGAGAACGAGAGAAAAAGGGTCTGAGAGAGAGGGTCTGTGTGTGTGTGTGTGCGTAAGAGAGAGAGAGAGAGAGAGAGAGAGAGAGAGAGAGAGGACATGGACCGACGGTCCAGGATGGGCGTCAGGACGCAAATGGAGGTTTTCTTAGTAAATTTTTACAAGTCCCAGTTTCTTGGCCTGTGTGGCGAAAACATTAATGACAATGATAGCTCTCCTCCTTGATCCTGAAACTGACACGCAGAGGTGATTCGTCCGATTACCACATCTAGACAKACACAATTACGTCGCGAAGAACTACCRTATCAGTCCGTCGCAGACGAGGAATCTGTGTTACTCAATCTTTTTCGACGAGCTAGTCCCCTCGTGTTCGTGTGTCCTGTTGGAATCGCGCATAAAATTAATGCAGATGATATGCGCATGCGGTCCTAGTGTGGAGTGTACTATGGGTAGTCTTCGCATGATACAATCATGATTGAGAAGCCTGAGAGGGAACGGAGGTCTGGGACTGCCACGTGTGTCGTGCCGTACATCATGCATGGTACGAGGGAGTAGATATACAGTTTCTTTTTTTTTCTTTCTTTCTGGTATCGAGTTTTTTCTGGCGAATGCAAGGTGTGAGTGAAAAGGAACTAATCTACAGTCGAACCTGGTGATGG